CACTTTTTCCTCCAAGGAGCTCAAGGTGGCATACATGGGTTTCTTCCTCCTCATTTAATCCCCACAACAGCCCTGTGAGGTAGGTTAGGCTGAGACAGTGACTAGCCTAAGGTCACCCAGTGAGCTTCATGGCCAAGTGGGGATTTGAACCCTGGTCTCCCAGGTCCAAGGGACGCAGGTGGTGCTGTGGGTTAAACCACAGAGCCTAGGACTTGCTGATCAGAAGGTTGGCAGTTCGAATCCCTGTGACAGGGTGAGCTCCCGTTGCTCGGTCCCTGCTCCTGCCAACCTAGCAGTTCAAAAGCACGTCAAAGTGCAAGTAGATAAATAGGAACCACTCTGGCGGGAAGGTAAACGGCGTTTCCGTGCACTGCTCTGGTTCGCCAGAAGCGGCTTAGTCATGCTGGCCACATGACCTGGAAGCTGTACGCCGGCTCCCTCGGCCAATAAAGCGAGATGAGCGCTGCAACCCCAGAGTCGGTCACGACTGGACCTCATGGTCAGGGGTCCCTTTACCTTTACTCCCAGGTCCTAGTCCAACACTCTAACCACCACACCACACAGGCTCTCATTGTATCCACTATCTATCCATACACATGCATGCAACACACCAGGGAAAGGAAGGGGTTATTGTTCTAGACTCCAAATTCAGCAAATAAACCTTTGATGCTGAAACCCAGCCACATTGCTCAGCTCCAGTTCATGCAAATAAGTCCACATATGCAGACCACCCTGCTACTGCCTGTGAAAAGCTGGTACAGGTTTGCAATCCTAACCCTCTGGTGTTAAGAGGTGGGCAGTTTAGGATGCATCACGTCTTTGCTTGCGGTGTGGCTCCATTACATAACAAGCCCAAGCTCCACCCGAGATGGTGGGACACTACTGCCAGTGGGTCTCCTGCCAGAGGCAGCCAGTAGAAACGCCCCCCCCCCAATAAGGGCATTATAGGAGTAAGGCAACAGAGGTTTCAGACCCAAAGCCCACAAATTCCCCAAGGGGCCCAAGGAACTGGCGCAGCAAAAATGGACCACCCTCCCTACCTTCCATCCTAAGCAGCAATAGCAAGCTGGGATTTGGATGCAGGGGAGGTTCTGCTCGTCCTTGGCCCCGATTATAATTGGTCCCTCTGTTCCCATGAGCCGCAAAATAGAAATCAGCTCATTTGGAGAATTTGGGAACAGGCTCACATTCAGGTCTCTGGCTACACCTCATGTAAAATAAGAGAAAAAGCAATTGCTCTCAATAGCTTTGTGTAAAAGTATACCCTGGTCAGTCCTGTTCCATATGAAGGCTTTACAGAAAAATACCAAACACAAAGAGATCTGTTCACAGAGACAGTGCTTTAAGCTGGGTTTGACGTCCAATAAAACAGCTTGGGAAAGTGTGACTGGGGAAATGAACTTGACTTAAGATTTCACCTGTAGAACTGGACAGATTATGCTGTGCTCTCTTAGGATGTCATTTACACATTATCATCCATTCCACAGAAAAGATCCACACAATTGGCCTAACATTGCAGTTGTGCCCTGGGTGAGCCCAAGGAAAAGCAGGTGCAATGGCAGGGCTGTAACTTGCAAAATATACTGTATTTTTCGCCCTATAGGGCACACCGGCCCATAGGGCGCACCTAGTTTTTTTTGGGGGGGAATTAAAGAAAAATAAATATTCCCCCCCCAGGCACGGGGCTGGGGGGAAGCCCAAGCTTCCCCCGACCCCAGAACAGGCTGCTATCCGCAAGCCTTGGGAGCCCGGTGGGAAGTCGCACCAGGCTCCCAAGGCTTGCGGAGAGCTGCCCGAAGCCCGGAGCTGCGCTCCCCGGGTTTCGGATTGCAGGCTGCTGTCCGCAAGCCTTGGGAGCCCGGCGGGAAGACGCGCCGGGCTCCCAAGGCTTGTGGAGAGCTGCCCGAAGCCTGGAGAGCGAGAGGGGTCGGTGCGCACTGACCCCTCTCGCTCTCCAGGCTTCAGCGAAAGCCTGCATTTGCCCCATAGGACACACACACATTTCCCCTTCATTTTTGGAGGGGAAAAAGTGCGTCCTATAGGGTGAAAAATACGGTACTCATTTTCTTTAAAATAAAAAATAATAAATCATTGGATGGACAAATACAGAAAGGTTCCCAGTTAATTGTTTTGCTTTTTTCTGGCCATCCTAGCCACTGGCAGATTGACTCTCCTGGTTTCTGTACTGTTTGAGTAAGCTCCCATCTAAGACAGGCAGCCTGAGGAGGATGGCAATTATGGATTATTGCATTCCCAAAGAAACTCATTAGAAGAAATGGCTACCTGCCTCAGCTGCAGGGGAGCTGAGCCTCTGCATGCTCTGAATAACCTTTCTTAAATTAGATGCTTAGAATGGATTTCTCTATTGTATCATTTGTGGCTGCTTGTATAGCTGAATACACAGGCAGAGCAGACAGGCACGAGCCCAGAATCTTAAAGCTCATATGCAGGTAGAATTTTAAAACAGGTTTCCACACTGACATCCACTCCATGAAATAGGTGTCAAGTCAACAATGCTAAAAATAAGTGAGGATTTTGGACAGTATCCAAACATTTCATCAGCTGTTTTAGAGGCGAGCCCTGAACGTCAGGCTGCTGCTGGTTCTTGGTTCTGTTTGCTCTGTATTGTACTTACTGTAAAGATTGTTGATCAGTTCCGCATGTGTCTTTCCAGTCGAGGTCCAGGCCATGGTTCTTGTCAGCAGGAGTCCCATGAGCAAGGTAGCAAAAGGCAGCGTACAGCTCATCCCATAAAAATGTGCAGGGGATTCCCAAGCCTGACCAGCCAGTCACAATGAACCAAAGAGAGAAAGTTTTTTTATATTTAGAGCAAGATCATGTAACGCCTCATAGAAACCAAATCCTCCATACGCAGAAGGAGCCAAGACTAAGAACAGATGCACAGACGCAATACAGGGAAATCTGGAGAACACATTTGCTGTCTAAGTCAAATAATAACAGACTGTTGGATGTCAATAAAAGTACTGCTAATAAGTTTTTTTTTAAAATAAAATAAAAAACCAAACACCAGTCCAAGAAGTTAGAAGAGAGATAGAGTATTAGATTAGGTTCTGGGAAAGTCAGGTTCAAATCCCCACTGTGTTATGAAACTCACTGATTATGCAGATAAAGAAGGGTCTACACCACCCTGAGCTCCTTGGAAAGAAAGGTGGAATACAAATGTATTAATAAATAAATAAAATTTGTCATCACAATGACAAAAATAAATATAAACTAAGGACATTGATAAACCTAAGGAGTTGGCCAAGATATTTTACTGTTTGAGGCCAAGTGGCACATAGCAGTGCACAGCATGTCCTCCTCGCTACAATCAGAGCGTATTGCAGCCAATGGCAATCAAAGCTATTTTGGCACGTGAGACAGAAAATCCTACAAACACCTCCTTCCTGGCAGTAAGACTACAATAATAATTGTAACATTATAAAATAAAATTATAACATATACCAACAGCCACTTTGCTGCCTATTAATGGGACTCAAGATGTGTTGTCCAAGGCAGCCGCCTCACACGGCCAAGGCTGTAGGTGTGGGCAGGGAGGGCCAGTACAGGGGAGTGGGCAGGTTAAGCTAACAATTGAAATAATTTGCAATTTGCATCTATTCTTTTTTGTAGAGACTGGGCTGTGACTGTAATTGTCTGCAAAGCTAGATCACTGACTTACAGTACACCAACTTGTAGAACGAATGGGAAAATGGATTTTTAAAATACTACGTGTATAAAATATTACATGCATTACCAACCCGTTTGTATGGGTTGCCAACCTTCTTGTGTGAGTGGTCACACAAATAACATAAATAACAATTATCTCACTTGGAGTTTTTTTTGTTTTTGCATTGCATTGCATTTCCCCTCTGACCACACTGATTGCAATTTCCACCAACTGTAACTTAGGACAACACTTCATGTATATGAGGGAAATGGACTGCCGCCCAAAAAAACCCGATGCCATAATAAATGGGCTAGGAACAAACATACATATTTGTTCCTCAAAGCATGTGTGTCTCAGAGCAAAAACAAGGCATTGGATGAAGGGCAGTATACGAATTTGATAAATAATAATAAAAGGGAAGGTCCGCCCCACTAAAAGATGAGCATAGAAAGAGGCACTTCAACTGAAGAGTCAACGCCCTCCCCTCTTGGTGTCTTATGATGGGGAAGGGAAGAGCCCATATGCAAGGCTCCTGAGTGGTAAGAGGAGGTGGGCTGGGCTGGGCTCCGACTCCTCTTCTGAGGGTCTTCTGAGGATCCCCTCTGACGCCTCCCTCCCAAGCGCCAGGAGAAGAGAGAGCAGACTGCTGTCCCCCCAAAAGCAGCTCAGTCTCGAGCAGCCCTCCCACTTCCCAGAGAGAACCAAGACCCAGGACCCCGTCCCCAGGATCCCACCCCTCCCACAAAAAGGCGGACTCACCTGCGCAGCCGCACTAAGTCCTCCGCACTCGCATTCTCGCCCTCCTAGCTCCTCCTCTTTCAGCAGCAGCTGCTTATTACGGCATTTGAGAGTAACTGAGGGAGTTGAGGCCTGCTGTTGTTTACGCTGTTACGTAAGTGGGAGAGAGAAGCCGCCGATCAGAAACTTCCGCCCGGCTTTAAGATGTCGCGCGCGACGGTTCCTAAAGAGATCGGATAAAATGAAGATATTATCACTTCCGGTTTTTGTTTAGGCACTTCCATGCTCAGGGGCCTGAGGGGTGGGGGGCATGTCCGTGCAAAATTGTCAGTGACGTAGCGATAAAGCTGACAGGTCCTCCTGGTTCCTCTGCTGTGAAATAATCACGCCCGCCGCGCCCTGCCTCCAGAGGTTATTTCTTATTGATTTCTCCACCGTTCTTACCCCGCACCTCCCGAGTTTGTCAAGGGGAACCGGAAGTCTTGTTTGCGAACCATTCAGCCCTCTCCTTTGCTACTTGCCAAGCTTCGGTGGTGATTGGTAGCCCTCCGCAGCCTATGGGAGCGGGAAAGCTGTGCTCTGTTCCCTGATTGGCCAGTTTGGGACAACAGTCTGTTCCTCGCTCCCCGCCCCGCCCTTCCTGGCTCCCGAGACTTCTGCCCTTTGTGGACTCTGAAAGCGACGGAGGGGGCAGAGCAGCTTCAGCCGCCCCAGGTAGGCGAACAGGAGGGGCGCAGGAGGGGACGCCGGCACTGGGGGGGGGGATACGGGTGCATGCGAGCCCATAGGTCCCGGGGAGGCAGGGGACCACCTGGAAAAACCACCGTGAGAGGCCTCTCACGCCAGGCGCGCTTGGTCTCCTGACCTTAAAGCCAAGAGCTGCTCTCAGGATTGCTCCGAATGTCATCGCCGCCACAAACACACATAATAAATAATATTTTTTTTTATTTATATCCCGCCCTCCCCAGCCGAAGCCTGGCTCAGAGCGGCTAACAACAGTAAAAAAATAACACATTTTACATAAAATCATAATCATTTAATTGAAATACTGTGCATTCTAAAATCAATTCATTCTAGAATCAATTCAGACTCAGGAGGTGTGTCGTGGCGCCCAGTTTATGATTGCAAAATCGCCCACTTTTTCTTGGTGGTGGTGGTGGGGAAATACGATTTTATCCCCTTGCCTTATTGTCCCTGGTGTCCTATTGCTTTTATCTCGTGCGCAGCCGGATCCCAGGTCTGTGGACTTGGAGGGTCGTGTGTCCGAAGTCCAGTGGCAGAAGCCTGGCCTGGTCCCAGCGACCAGGGGAGGTGGCTGCTGTGGCTTTTCTCCGAGCCCCCCCCCCCCGACCCCCGAGGCCTTACTCCCAACCTGCTGCTTCACACCATCGGAAAGAGCCGGTCGCTTAGCAGTTGACTATTTTGACTGTAGCTGTAAGATGTACGTGCGAAACGCGGGTCCTGAAAACATTCACTCACACGAATGATACACCACACGTAGACAGGCTCGACCGTCCTTTAGAAATACCGGTAGCAGATGTCCTGTTCTGCGTTTAATTCTGGTTTCCCGGTACACACTGCGATACAAGAGCAAAACTCTTAACACTGCAGCAGTGTGTAGAATACCGATCAGGGTGCTTGCCACCCCCCTTTTCAGGATAATCCATTCTGCTAGTTTTCTATTTGTCCTTCCCACTCCTATGGTATTAAGTGTGCCTACTGAGCATGATCAGTCTTTGTTGGGCTTTCTTTGGTTTCCCTGTTGCAAGAAGTACAAGCAGCGACTTAAAGACATTTCTGCTTTGCACATACATACCTAGTTTGCCCCTTCTGCATATGTGTAGACTTATCACTTCTGCTAACTCTGCCCAGAATGTGGCAGTTACACTTGCTGAGGTGTATGCTTGAAATATACTTGAAGTCGAGAGTGGATTGCATGCACTTTATTCAGCTCATAGTGATGAGGAGGAATGGAAATTCCCCCAGAATGTCTGCTTTATATACATTATTTACACAATGGGCCCCACATGATTGGCTAATCCAGGATTCTCCTGTAGGCCAATCAGGTTGCGGATTCACTTCCACCTGGAGCTGGATTGGGTGGCTCTTGTGGACCAATCAGACTGCTGCATTCTGGATCCTATTGTTCTAGGACCAATCAGACTGCTGCATTCTGGAATCCTATTGTTCTAGGACCATTCGGACTGCTGCATTTTGGATCCTATTCAACTCAGTACATAACAATGCTAAACAAAGCCTCTTCTGTTATTCCCACCCTTTAGATTTTTTTCCTAAATATTTTTTGTATGGCTGTACACCTTGAAGTTTCCTCCAAGCCTGCTGATACCTTCCTTCTTTTGCCTACCTAAAGATTCATACTTGGAGAGTGATTTTTCTATTGATATGTCGGATGGATTGGTTTGCCAAATTGGATGGCCTGCCTATGGAATACCCCCTATTTTCTAGATGCTTATGTGAACTGGCCCTGAACCTTGTGGTTGGTTGGTTGGCCGGCCAGACATTTAAACCATGTGGTTAATTTAGAAGGGTCCGAGTTTTTATGCTCCCTTGTTGTAGTCCTTTTTCTAGCAATCATGGGCTCTAATGATAGAATTGTCCTGGATATTTTTTACACGCCCGTGCCGGTTTTATGTTTCAATATGGTGAAACAGACACTGGCAATTTTCTCAGTGACTTCCCACCTTGCTGACACCCCCACCCCAATCCTGTGCCTTCACCACCATCACTCTCGCTGTAACTGCCTACATTAAAGAACAAACAGCTTCCTGTCATCTTGTTGGTAGGTAGCTATAAGACAATAAAGGTTAGCAAGCTGGGTTTCTTCACAACCCCCACTACACAATATTAAAATACAAATCACTAATAAAATCTATCACAGCAACATGAACCGTGGGATTCAAACGCATAAAAATACGTGGTGAAATACGTGTACTTTTCTCTGTCCCAAACTATTCCTCTGTCTAAATGTTGGGAGAGTTTGATTGATCGTATCTTGGTTTGATAAACCAATATATAAACAAGCCTTATGCCCTTCCACTCAGCTCTTCCATTCCTTCCTTTGTTCCTTCATGGTATGAAGTTGGTTTAATATCCTGGCTTGACAACCATCTAGGCTGTTGCATTAAGTGTTCTTTAGCATAACCCCATTCCTTTCCTATACCCCAGCTTTAATCTTGTTTTTTACTTCCTCCCTCCCCTACAAACTGATGCTTCTCAACTGATACCCAAACCCACCCCAAGTCTCTAAACACTTTTATTTATTTATTTAAACCATTTATATGCCTCTTAAGACATTTCCAACACTGTGTGCAAGACTGTTATGGTGCTTTTGAGATTCAGGTGAAAGATTCTAAGTCATTTCCCAATCACTTAACTTAGAGCCTTAACTGAGAGAATTAGAGTCATAGAACTGTTGCGTTGGAAGGGACCCCAATGTAGCCAACCCCCTGCAGTGCGTTAGAATATTCATTATATCTCAACAATTTAAGCAACCACAGCAGTTCATTAATACATATTTTAAACCATCCCACAGTTGATTTTGTTTCAGTCTGTGACACATCCCAGATCAGCTATGTCTGCTCAGATCCACCCTCCAAATTCGTAACATTTTCCCTAGACATGGTATATTGGAACTGATGAAGATTGGACCTGAAGAGGCTATTACCTGGGACACAGGTCTTGTTTTAGATTTTTAAAAGTTTTAAGGATTTTAAAAGGGAAGGTGAACAGGGACAACCTCTGTGCAGGACATTCCAGCATAGCAATAGTAATTTTACTAAACCGAGGCAAGTTCACTTATAGTGCAATCCTACACATGTCTACCCATAGCTATGTATCATTGACTTTCTTGGGCCTAACTCCCAAGTAAGTGGGTATGGAATTGCAGCTTCAGAAAAGTACTTCAAGCTGTAACTTTAAGTGTGAGATTTAAAACATAAGCATGATGCCTTAACTGTTCCAAAAATATATATATCAAAAAATCCACTCTGTACAGCCTAATCCTTTGCATGGAAACAGGAATGCGTAAAATCTGCAAAAAATTAGGCACCAGCTGGGCATTCTAGGAGCTAGTGAGATGTAGCTGATCTCTGTAGAGGGTGCCTCTGGTTAGGCCAAAATGTTTAAGTGCCTGGATTTTTACAAGCACTCGGTTTTCTTGTGCAGTTTGACTTCTGGTTTTTGTTTTTGTTGGTTTTGTTTTAAAGGAGAACTGAAAATCCCATGGCTTCTCATCTTTATAGAATAGAAGAGGGAGGAAATATAAAGATGTATGTAATGTATTATGCAGTTCATAAAGTACATATTTTTTCCCCAGGATTTCCTCATCATGATAATGATTGAAAGTATTGACTCCATAGTCACAATTTCCAGCCAGGACCTCTGGGCTGAAATCTGTTCATCCCTGCCACATCCAGACAAGAGTGATGAATCAAGCAATGCATTTGCAGATTCGTTCACAGACGCTCACGTTCATGTGGAAAGTCAGAACGAAGTCATGAACACCACTTTCCAAGAAAGCATGAAGCCCTGGGCACCACTGAAGGATTCAGATGCCTATTTGGCATCTTTAGGTCAGTATATAGGGAGCTGCTGAGTTGGAGAATTTGTTACAATCAGTACCTAACCTTTGAGAGTAGTAATTATTAATTGTAATTATTATTACTGTAACATGGTGGGGGGGGGATTGTTTATCTGTATGCATTTAATCCCAAACAGCAAGTATTAGTGTTTTGATCAGCTGAAAATCAAGGCTTTTGGACTAAAAATCCATTCAGTCCAAAATTATATGTTAAAGACCAGGCATAGGCAAACTCTGCCCTCCAGATGTTTTGGGACTACAACTCCCATGATCCCTAGCTAACAGGACCAGTGGTCAGGGATGGTGGGAATTGTGTCCCAAAAACATCTGAAGGGCCGAGTTTGCCTATGCCTGTTAAAGACAATGGATCTGTTCCACAATAGGTGGACATGGCTTGACAATCTGTGACCATTGTTACTTTTTGTGTAAATCATTGATCTCAGTCTCTCCTGTACATTTTTGGATCTTCTCAGGACTTCAGAAAGGTTCTACAATTTATTTTTAAGAGCACTGGAATGACAAGATAATTGTCAGTACAGAAGCAGGCAATGTGTGAGAGAAAACCTTTGCCCAATTTCGTCTAATTTATTCCTGCATAAAACTCTGAAGAGTATATTAGATTGTTCTTTCCAATAACTTTTGTGCAGCGAGAGAGGAATATAATCCATCTAGCGTTCTGCTGGGAGAAGAAAAGAATTTGCTGCAGCTAAATTTCCAGAACAAGAACTTGAAGACTTCCATTAAACTTCTTGCTTGTGTGCTGTGCACCAAAAATTTCAATTGAGTCTCTCCTTTCAAATACTATTTCTAGGCAGATGGGTGAGCAGTGATCCTTAACCTAGAATGAAATGTACTTCCATTGTTTATTTTAGTGTAGATACAGATTTAATGCCGAACCATTTCTGATTTCCATTTTTATTATGGGTTTGGGAATGAGAACATGAGTGGGCAGTGGAGGAGAAAGTAGTTTAGTGAGGCATTGCATGTTAGTTCTTTTTTACCAATTCTCTCACAAAATTAAAATGAGCAAAAGTCAGGACATGGAAGAGAAATATCTAATACAGCGCTGCGGTAAAATGGATACTTTCAGTCAGAGGTGCCCAACCTAGGGCTGGGCAATACCTGGTTTTCAACATTGTGCTATATCACCAGCTAAACATCACAATATTCCAATATATCACGATGTCTGAAATAAAGATGGAAGTATGTAGAGGCAACGGCTGGCTTCTTCCCTCATTGTGCTTTTTGCATAGCGCACGCGCACACCCACACCCACACACCATGATTTATGATATATATTGCCAGGTCAAAAATTATGAAACCTATAATAGGGTTGCCATATCTTGAAGAGCAAAAAAGAGAACAGCCTGAGCCTTAGAAAGAGGCATGCAGGCATGGGGCCGCCGCCACCCTCTCGTGCCCGAGCCTGGGCTGCCCAAGCCGAAGCCCAGAAAAACCCGAAAAACCTGGACATTTCCTTTAAAATGTAAAAATCTGCCCAGATGGGCATGTTGGCCCCCGGAAGAGGAGACATGTCCAGGTTTTCCTGGACATATGGCAACCCTAGATATCACGATATGGGCTTCAAGCCAGTTTTGGACGGTATATCACCCAGCCCTAGCCGAACCTGTGCTCATCCACCCCAGATGTTGTTGGATTCCAACTCCCATTAGTCCCACACAACGCAGGCAATAGTCAGGGGTGATGGGAGTTGGTGGTCCAGCAACAATAGACAGCCCCAGGTTAGTCACCCCGCCTTAAATGGTGGTTTACAATTCATATGAAAACCCATGAAATGGTTTGGATTGAAAATTCCTGACTCTACCTTGGCCACACTTGTGTGATTTCCCCTCCCCGCCTCTAGAGAGAAGATTGATGAGGATAAAGGGTTTGTCACAGGAGGTGACCTCCAAAGACATGCTGCACACTCTTTCTCAGGCGAAGAAAGAATGCTGGGACAGGTTTCTGCAGGAGAAGTCTGAGTCTGAATTTTACACGGAGGGAACTGAATCTGACGAGAGGTAATTCAATGAGGTTTTTATTCATGCAATGGCTTTTGAAGTGTGCATCTTATCGAAGTGCCCACCATTTCTGGAGTAAGGGCTGTTCTTAATTCAAGCCACGGTTTGCCCTCAGCCCTGTTTTCAGTGCCAGGGCTCAGGTCAACCACTAGGGTGTTTTTCTGATCATGTGCAGTATGCATCATGCGCAGACTGGAAAAACCCCTTTGTGCTGTGGGGAAGCAGGGTTGGATTAGGCAGAGTCATCCCTCTGCTCAGCATCCCCCTAGACCTCCCCCATAAAGTGATACCAGCATCACTCTGCTGGCCTGGAACTCTATTCCACTCGCCAAATGTGCAGGTGTGGTGCATTTACTGCCTGCAGTAGCCCCCAAAAGCCCCCAAATGGGGCATCCCAGAAGATGGGCTGATCTGAACCAAGACCCACTGGATCCTGAGCCAGCCCCATTGCCATCACTTGTTGGCCAATGGCCTGGTGCAACAATTTGCCTGCCCCCCACACTGACTTCTGCCCCAACTGATGTGAGTGACAGGGCTGCAGATCTAGTGGTGTCTCTACCACTCTTACCACGCCCTCTTACTGCCTGGTCTGGGTTTGGATTGCCCTGTTAGTCTGATCCTAGAGGAGACATCCCCCCCAATTCCTATTATCTGTGTATTCTTCTGTTTCTGCTCTAGGTCGAAAACTCATTTCATGTAGAAAACTAGTCCATTGGAGAACTGTTCTAGCTGAGCTATTTCTCTCTGTGCTAGTTTTCTGTGTGTTTCTTCATAGTGGAACAAGGGACTCTACTATCTGCAGTGTGCCCTCTCTGGAGAGGACCTGTGCTGAACTGATAGGTGTTCCTCAATATCTGCTTGTCACAGAATTCCCTAAACCGTTGGAGTTTAGCCCAAACCCAAACCTTTTCTAAGATGTGGGGTAGCTTGGACTGAGAGAGTGAGTGGCCCAGGGTCACCCAACTTCAGGGCTGAGTGGGATTTGAATTTGGGCCTCTCTAATCTGACAGTCAAAAGTTCCTTCCATTACATTTAGGTAGAAAATAGTTGAAATGATTAGTGGGAATGGGGTGGGGGCTGATCCTGCCCTTTTGCCTTCTTTCTTTACTGTTCCCTGCCCTTTCTGCTTTCTCTCAGCACTCTGGAACACTTGAAGCGTTGGCTACAGCCTGAGAAAGTGGCTGTCAGCACCGAGGAAGTGCAGTATTTGATTCCGCTCGAGGCTCGTATAGAGAAGCAAGAGACAGAAGAAGAACTGATGATGGCTGTAGAACAGTGAAATGTTGACCTTTGCCTCCAGTCCGGGGGCTGGTGCAGTTTCTTTTAAAGCAGCAAGAGGAAGGAAGTGCCAGTGCTTGGTGATAGTAGACCACACTTCCCACTGTACTTCTTAAATTTCAGTGGCTTTGAAGTTGCAGATTTAAATCTAGTCATATGTAAGAATCTACTAAGATGACTGAACATAAAAGGCAGCGGATATAATCTTTGGATAATGAGATGGACTGGAGTCAGGCATGGGAGTGAAGAGTTCATCCATTTGCTTCGCTCTTCTCCTTTATGGTCTCTTTTCTTTGGGTCTGCATCATTCCCAGAGGTTTTTGTTGTGTTCTTTTTGGAGGACTTGCATGCACATGGATCCTGTAAACTGCATTATTTCAGACAATTCGTCACCTCGCACTGCAATGGACTGTGCAGAAACATTGTACTCTCAAATTTCAGTACGTGGAAACATTCCTTTCCTCACAGCATATAATCCCCAAATGTATGACTTCTAAGACTGAAACTCGTGTGTATCTCTTTTCCCAACTTTTTTTTCTAAGCCCAAGCGTGCCTGTATCTTTTCCTCTGTGAAGTGAAAAGCAACTGCCGGTGCAGTTTTGAGTGATCTTGGCAACCTTTGCTTTTGGTTTTAGGAAGAAGAAAAAATTGGGGGGATAAAATACACACCACTACATTTTACATTCAGTTTCAGTCTTATAGAGATGAAGCGTCTTCTACTGGAAAAAACCCACACTCTTTTTGTTAAAAATGTTGTCTTTGTCCTTGCAAGCAAGCAGGTCTTGAATTGAAAGTGTAGCACTTCATGTAGTTATTTTCTTAAAACTCTGGATTTAAAACTGTTCTGGAATGGAGCTACTTTGCTTTGCCATTCATGAGATCTGATTTCCCCAAGCATCTTTTCCAGCTAATAGAATATCCATGCTTTCTTCTTCACTCTCGGTTTCCCTTGCTGCAAGAAGAAAAGAAAAATGTATTCCGAAACAATATGGAATTAAAACTGTAGGAATTTAGATGGCATAAATAAGACCAAGTATGAAATCAGTGGTGAGCTGGAAAAGGAGGGTGTATTACATTAACCTTTTTACTCCCTGTGGCATATTCACTTGTGTGTGTGTGTTTTGTGCGTGTCAGTGCATGCAAAAGGAGGTGAAAATGTTTGTGCTCCAGCCACATGTCATGTCCTTGACTTCATTTTCATTACGTTCCCTCACTCCGTGGCCATCCATAGCAATTCACTGCTCCCGTCCCTGATACCTTTCAACATATGTAGCAGCCCAGGCCAGTTGCTGCTTTTGTGCCATTTTTCCCTCATTGACTTTTTGCTTCTTGCAAACAGTGCGGTTGCAATAATGCAGACAACCGGATCTGATTGCATGGTGATATCATGGAAGGCAAACTCGGTTTGAATATTTTTGTTTGCCATTGGTGATGTTGTTATGTCTGAATGGCCATATAGTGACTTCACTGGTCTCAGAGTGCTTTTTTAAAAAAAGGTAACAAAGCTGAATTGGGTTTGGCACTGCTGGCAAGCCAAGATGGCAAAATAGGAAATACCGAACCTGGAAAAAAATTAGCATAGCACAGTTAAAGTATGCAAGTAGGTATATGTGTTTATGAAGTATTTGGAAATGTGTGCTGTGGTTGCCTCCTCTCCAAAATTGTAGTTTTGCTTAAATAATCCAGAAATTTGTTAGACAAAACATCTCAAAATTGGGGAAGTTTACATTATTTCCCATCATTTTATGTTTCACTTCCCTCTGAGTTTTTCTGCTCTGATAATATGTTATGGATGATGAACTGCATATATTGCTGTCACATTGGTGGGATAGTCTCTACGTTGTCTATTTGTGTAGTTAATATGCCTTTTCAAAATTGAGTTTCACTGACTTCTGTCTTGATCCATCAAAACATATTTGCCTGTTGTATAAGTGATGTACCTTTGTGGCTCTTCACATTTTTTTGTGTTGTGATAGAAGAACATGCGATTTCAGAACTGAGGCTTTTAAAGTTTGCTGTCTTTATTTAGTGTCGTCAGTGCATTAGGCTCTATACAGAGTGTAGAGGAGTTAGGAACACACGCACACCCTTTCCCAGTGAATTAAAAGGACAGGGCCCTCCTTCCTTGGAGGTTGGATTTCCATCTGTCATGGATGCTTTAGTTGAAATTCCTGCATGGCAAAGAGTCAGACTAGATAATCCTCAGGGTCCCTTGCAACTCTACAGTCCTATAATTCTATGAAAAGGAGACACCAGGACCTGAGAAAGAAGTAGCAAGAGGGAACAGTTAAGTGGGAAGAATTAGGAACAGGCAAATTTAAACTAGGGAACAGCAAGAACCAGTGGAGGCTGGTCCATTAGGGAAAATGTGGTACTGCCCCACCAACCTCAGATTCCTCCAAGTCTACCTGCCTGCCTGCCTTCTTAGGACTTGCCGATCAGAAGGTCAGTGGTTCGAATCCCTGTGACGGGGTGAGCTCCCTTTGCTCTGTCCCTGCCCCTGCCAGCCTAGCAGTTCGAAAGCACGTCAAAGTGCAAGTAGATAAATAGGTACTGCTCCGGCGGAAAGGTAAGCGGCATTTCCGTGTGCTGCTCTGGTTTGCCAGATGCGGCTTAGTCATGCTGGCCACATGACCCGGAAGCTGTACACTGGCTCCCTCGGCCAATAAAGTGAGATGAGCGCCGCAACCCCAGAGTCAGTCGTGACTAGACCTAATGGTCAGGGGTCCCTTTACCTTTATGCTCCTGGTTAGAAGGGAGAACTTATCCTGCTTAGGATAGCATGCTAAGCCAAACTTCAGCTAAGCTCAGTATGGGAGCAAAAAGAATTGGGGCAGAGCACCTGCAAGCCCATCTCTGGAAGCCTGGACGATTGTATGGTCTCCATAAGCCACCATTTGGTTGACCATGTCATGTGAACCAGGCTTGTGTTCCCTGTTTAGCAGGAGACAAGAGAAGCAGGAACTAGGTCTCTGTGCATGATGCAGTGTATGGGCACAAACCCTGGGTTCATTACACAGTTAATATTATTTCCTGCTAAATGACAAATCCATGGAGCAATTGCTATCCTGGCAGGTCAAACTACTCCTGGGTGTGTGGGTGTGACATCATATTGTTTCTATTTTAAAATGTACTGTTAGTGCTAATCACAGCAATTGCCCTAGACTCTGAAGAGGCATCAATTAAAACACTTTTCCATTTCCTCTGTGTTGATTTTGCCAATATTTTTTATTGATTTTCCATAATTTTTAACAAATTGTCACCAAATGAATACAAATGCAATACAAATTTAAAAGCTGACTTTCCACCCACCCACTCTTTGCTGCTCCCAATAAAATAACTTTCCCAACTATCATTTCAAAATACGTTCATCCCTTCTCCCTACACATCGCCTGTTCAATTACCAATTTCTGCTATGGCTTTTATACACTGTTATAACCTGTCCTCAAAATAGTTGAGTGGAGTAAATCCTCTTTATCTATAGTAGTCGTTCATCAATTTTCAAACATTTCCTTCTGATACCTCTTGAGGAACACTTTGCCTGAGAAAAGCAGGTCTTGCTTCCTCCCAGACAACACACACTTATTCCTCCCTAACATGGCCTTCAACATTGTTGTCTGACATCTGGCCCCAGTAACCAATAACTCAGCCTCACTGGTGCAGCATGCAGAGGGTGAAAATGAAACCCATATATATATTTTTGCATAAATTTATAATATACATGATTTTGTACCTTTTAATGTCACCTGGATTCAGCCAGATGTTTCAAGGAGGGCCAGAAACGGAACACAAAGGCAGCACACCTCCTTGTATCTCATTATGCCTGCCCAATTTCAAAAGCATGTGATCAGCTTAGCTATCTTCCATGAGCGATCTATTCGTCCCACAGCAGACCAGTGGGCAGGGAGGAAGAGATTGGTGGAATATTAAAAGAAAAGTCTGCAAGTAAGAGCTGCTTGACAATGGAGCCAGGATGGTGGGCTCTTTCCCATGCTGGAGGAGGTCTTCGAGGCTGGACAGACACATACTGAGGATGCTCTGATTTCCTGCCCCCACACCCCTCACTGGAGGAAGTCAAGAGCTAAAGGAACATCCTTAACATCTGGCCATCCAAATGTCTGCTTGAAGTGGAGATGGGATCTATTGTTGGCAACATGCTACTCCAATGATATTTTGTTGCTCTGTTTTTGTTTCTTAATATTCCTGTACGTGCACACACACATACATCACATAACGTTATTACTGGATACGATACAATACGATATGATAATCTTTATTGTCATTGTCCCGTACAGAACAACGAAATTGAAAAAATCTACATCAGACATTCAAAAACCAACAAGCCTGCTATCCCAGCTATCCCAGCCTGGTTAGCCCCCTAAAAACTCTGATACCCCATAATTAAATACAATATACTCCAATAGAGACTACCTTACACTGTGTTTAAAACCAAAATTGCATTTGGATAGAAACTGTTTCTCAGGATGTAATTTACCATGAGATCTCGTCAAAATATCCTTATTGTGGCTGGAAAGGTAACGTGCACACGTGATTTAGAATCTGTCATTTTATTTATTATATGTACAGTGGTACCTTGGTTCTCAAATGCCTTGGTTCCCAAGCACCGAAAACTCGGAAGTAAGTGTTCCAGCTTTCGAACGTTTTTCAGAAGCTGAACAATGTGGTTGTCGGCTATTGTTTCTGGGGTGCCTGCACTAATCAGAAGCTGCACCTTGGTTTTCGAACATTTCAGAAGTCAAACAGACTTCCAGAACAGATTAAGTTCGAGAACCAAGGTACCACTGTACATGGAAACTCAGATGCTGCTAACTGGAAGAGTGTGATGGCACCATCCTATTTGCCTAAAAAGAACTTGGCATAATGTGGAAATGAAGAAACCAGCCAGTTTTGTTTGAGGAGAGGCAGCCAGCCAATGAATACTTTTGTTGGAACATAGCCTTATTTTGTGAAATATTGGGATGGTAAATGGAGTACTACCTTATTGTTTGTTTTATCTTCTGGGCCAGAGGTTACCAATTAGCTAAGTACTTACTGCAGACCCTCTGTTTTTCAAAAGCCAAGCAATGGACTACTTTTGAAAACGTTGATATCTCTGTGGTAGTTTTTGTTATGTAAATGGGGCCACGTACCCCCTGGTTACGTGGACCTGGGGGGGTCTACGGACCACCAACTGGGAACCACTGTTCTAGGTTATGAAGACCCTGTCCAATCCTATAATTCGAATACTAGAACAAAATAGAATGAGGAATTTTTACTGAAATCTAATGGCAAATTATATCCATTAATAATTGTGTGTGTGTGTGTGTGTGTGTGTGTGTGTGTGTGTGTGCGCGCACATGCATAGATACAAAAACACAGCCACACAGTATTATTGGAGACTCCAACAATGGATTCCTTCAGGTTCCCATCTTGGAGGCTTTGGCGGATGAGGGAGATGGGCCTTTCCCTTCCTTGTTATGGCCTGCTCCATATTTCATACTGCAGCGACATAGCAAACTACTGGATCTACTGAGACTTGGAACTGAAGGCTTCTGGATCTCTGTGTTGGTACACCTGGTGGTAAGCTACTCAGGGCTGCACAGCAGAGAAACGCCAACATTGTAATGCCTACTCAGAAGTAAATTCCATTAAGTTTAATGGGGCCAACTCCCAGATAAAGTAGGAATAGGTCTTTTCAGCCTTGCCATGTCTTCACCATCCTGGCAGACCCATTTCTTTGTTTAGAGCAGGTATTCGTCTATGTCCCAGATGTTCATCTGAAACTGTATTCATTTGGTGGGTGAACCTAGGTAAATGCTTAAAGATGGAGGTGAGTAGGCTACCTCAAGATGAATGTCCAAATTCAGTATCCTAACAAGAGGTCCTACACTGGGCCAAACATGTTGTTGTTTAGTCATTTAGTCGTGTCCGACTCTTCGTGACCCCATGGACCAGAGCACGCCAGGCACTCCTGTCTTCCACTACCTCCCACAGTTTAGTCAAACTCATGTTCGTAGCTTTGATAACACTGTCCAACCATCTCATCCTCTGTCGTCCCCTTCTTGTGCCCTCCATCTTTCCCAACATCAGGGTCTTTTCCAGGGAGTCTTCTCTTCTCATGAGGTGGCCAAAGTATTGGAGCCTCAGCTTCACGATCTGTCCTTCCAGTGAGCACTCAGGGCTGATTTCCTTCAGAATGGATAGGTTTGATCTTCTTGCAGTCCATGGGACTCTCAAGAGTCTCCTCCAACACCATAATTCAAAAGCATCAAAAGGGTCAAACATATTGTTACTCAATTCCCTCCTGCACTTCCTCAAGGAAAAGTATGCATCAGTGAGAAAAAGAAAATTAGATAGGATCTTCTAAAAATGGGTAAGAATGTAATTACAGCATTGCCTGGTACTGGTAATGTAGAATGCTGTATTTGAATGTTATCTCCTGTCTGATCATATTTGCACTCCCTCTTGTAGATTTAAGAATTTCCACTGAGGTTAATGAGCATAAATGCCACTTTATGGTATTTTATGTTTAGGTATTAGAAACCTGCTTCTTCCACTGCATTTTTCATAAAGTGTTCCTGTGGATCTTTCCTGAACGCAAAGGGGCCATGTGACGAATTTATCTCTTTATTTGCATTTTCTGCCAGCTTTCCCCCTGAAGGCTCAGGGGGTGAATTATGTGTAGCAACCAGAAATATATAACTAAAAAAACTTAGAGCAGATTGTTGATAAACTCTAGTACATTTAGTTCTCATTTTTTTCAATGACAGAGATGTAATAGCATAATCCTATACATGTCTACTGAGATGTAAGGCACAATGAGTTCAATGGAGCTTACTCACAGGTAAGTGGGTACAGGACTGTAATCTAAAGCCTTTGTCTAAGACCTTTCCTGGTATCCATTCGGTAGTTATCTGGGTCCCCCCCTCTTTTGAAGATGGGGACAACATTTGCCAGTCTTCTGGGACCTCATATTTCTATTTAATACCTATTGTCACCTC